GGGGTGGGGGGGCAGGGAACCCTTCACCTGCCTGTTCACTTGTCTCAGGGCACCTGGAGACTAGTCTGGCCCCTCCCACCCCTGGAGCCCCACCCAGGCACCACTTGGTCTTGCCTCCTGGTTGGAGCTTAGCACTTCTGAAAGCCCTTCCTGCTCAGGGCACCTCCTGTCCCCTGGGGTTGCCACCTCACCCACCCCAGGACACCTGGGTCTGTGACTAGAGGCTGGACTTAGCACCAGGAGTCTTGGCTCAGCTGCCTACAGGGTCACTTGGGGCAAATGGCTTTAACTCCCTGGGCTCCAACTTCCTCATCGGCAGTGGATGGGCAGCCTTTGTTTCTACTGTCATTATGGGTGATTATATTACAATAACTACCTTAAAATAAAGAAATCCAAGACAAAACCTCACGAACTCTCCTCATAAAATCAGTGTTGTCACTTGTCCACGTGACCCTCCACTTCTTACATTTGCATATTCCATCTGCACCTGTTCAGTCATAGACGGTGCATTCTAAAGTTTCACACACATCAGGCCATGTGTGTTTTTCTATTCTGCTGGGATCTTTTTTCTGTTTTCTGGCTCCCACCTTAAATGCCCTTCCCACTCTTCCAACAACAATCTGTGTTGCCCCGGGGAGTGTGTCTTTTCTGTGCCCTTCTCCAGGTTCAAACACACCTGATGTGTGTGAAACTGCAGAACGCACAGCCTCGGAGGGAGGGGTTTTGGACACTGTTTGTCAGACCCAGGATCTTACCATGTAGCACTAGTCTCATCACTGTGCAAAGGGGTGTTCCCTGAATATTGAGACATGGATCCAATCGGTTTTTCTTTTTTTTTGAGTTGGAGTCTCACTCTGTCACCCAGACTGGAGTGCAGTGGCCACTCCCAGCAACTGCAGCCTCGACCTGCTGGGCTCCGGCGATCCTTCCGCCTCAGCCTTCCAAGTAGCTGGAACTACAGGCGTGCGCCACTATGCCCGGCTAATTTTTGATTTATTGTAGAGATGAGGTCTCGCCAAATTGCCCAGACGGGTCTCAAACCCGTGGGCTCAGGCAATCCACTCACCTCAGCCTCTCAAAGCGCTGGGATTACAGGCTGAGCCACCAAGCCCGGACCCAATCTGCTTTTCACAAAATGTTTTAGATTTGATCTACAGAAAAACTGCAAAGATAGTACAGAGTTACCTCACCCAGTTTTCCCTTGTTGTTGACATCTTACATTCCCATGGTGCATTAGTCTCAACTACGAAACAAAGCTTGGTGCATTACCGCCAGTTCCACTCCACACTTTATTCCCATTTCACCAGTGTTTCCACTAATGCCCTTGCTTTTTTTCTTCTTCTTCTTCTTTTTGATTTGGAGTCTTACTCTGTCGACCAGGCTGGAGTGCAGTGTCACACTCACAGCCACTGCAGCCTTGACTTGCTAGGCTCAGGTGAACCTTCTGCCTCAGCCTTCCAAGGAGTTGGAATCACAGGCATATGCCACCATGCCCAGCTGATTATTTATTTATTTATTGTAGAAATAAGGTCTCGCTATGTTGCTCAGGCTGATTCAAACCCCTGAGCTCAGGTAATCCTTTGGCCTCTACCTCTTCAAGTGCTGGGATTGCAAGCTTGAGCCACTGTGCCCAGCTAATGCCCTCTCTCAGATCTTGAATTTTATTCAGGACCCCATATCCTTTCCTTAGCCTCCTCTGCTACAGTTTCTCATTCTTTGTTTTTCATGTCCTGAAAGGTTTTTTTTTGGTTGTGTTTTGCTTATTGGTAGAGAGAGATCTTACTCTGTTACCCAGGGTGGTCTCAAACTCCTGGCTTTAAGTGACACTTCCTCCTTGACTTCCCAAAGTACTGGGATTATAGGCATGAACTACCACACCTGGCCTGGCAGTTTTGAGTATCACTGGTCAGATATTTTGTAGAACGTCCCTCAAATGGGTCTTGACTGATGTTTTTCTCATGGTTAAACTGGGGTTATGAGTTTTCGAGAACACCTTCTTGTCATGTCAGCTCAGGGTGCAAGCTCTCAGTTTTACTTATCTGTGCTGACAGTAGCCCTGATTGCCTGGCCCCACAGTGGTGTTTGCCAGATTTCCTCACCGTCAAGTTACTTTTCAATTTAAAACACACTTTTATTATGGAGACTTTCAAACATATGTAGAGAGAATAGTGACATGGAACTGGGGGCTATGGTCTTCCAAAATGGTTATAATCCCAGCACTTTGGAAGGCAACGTTGGGAGGATGGCTTGAGCCCAGAGTCCAAGACCAGTTTAGGCAACATAGTGAGACTTTATTAAAAAAAAAAAAAAAAAAATCTGCCAGGTTTGATGGCTCAGCCTGTAATCCCAACTTTGGGAGGCCTAGGCGAGTGGATTGCCTGAACCCACGGGTTCAAGACCCACCCAGGCAACTTGGTAAGACTCCGTCTCTACAATAAATAAAAAATTAGCTGGGTGTGGTAACACACGCCTGTAGTTCCGGCTACTTGGAAGGCTGAGGCAGAAGGATCACCAGAGCCCAGCAGGTCAAGGCTACGGTGGACAGGAGTGTGCCACTGCCCTCCAGCCTGGGCAATGGAGTGAGACTCCAACTCAAAAAAAAAAATCAAAAAATTAGCCAGGCGTGGTGGCAGGCACTCATAGTCCCAGCTACTTGGAAAGAGAAGGCAGAGGAATCACCTGAGCCCAGGAGGCTGAGGCTGTGGTGAGCCAAGATCATGCCACTGCGCTCCAGCCTTGGTAACAGAATGAGATCCTGACTTAAAAAAAATAATAACATGGCTAGCCTTGGTGGCTCAGCCTATAATCCCAGCACTTTGGAAGGCCGAGGCAGGTGGATTGCCTGAGCCCGTGGGTTTGAGACCAGCCCAGGTAACTTGGCAAGACCTCGTCTCTACGATAAAAATAAAAAATTAGCCAGGCGTGGTAGCACGCACGTGTAGTTCTGGCTACTTGGAAGACTGAGGCGGAAGGATCGCCAGAGTCCAGCAGGTTGATGCTGGGGTGGCCGTGAGTGTGCCACTGCACTCCAGCCTAGGTGATGGAGTGAGACTCCAACTCAAAAAATAGTAATAATAATAATGTAATGAACCCTTAGGTACCCCAGTCCCTACCTATCTCAATAGTTTCAACACACACACATGCACACACATACACACTCAGAGTTATTTTGAAGAAATTCCCACTCTATAATTTCATGTTACTATTTCAGTATGCATAGCTAAAAGATACACACTCTTTATTTTTTTTGGATGTAACCACAAAACCACGCTCAAACCTAAAGAATATCCTATCAGTGGTCAACTGTCCCCGATTGTCTCATGTGTTTCTGCAGAGTGTGGATTCATGCATTTAGTACTAACCTGCCATGGGCTAGTTACCCAACCCCCCACCTCTTCAGCCTAAGAGGTATCCAGGCTGCTTCCAGAAGGTGTTTTTGCTTTGTTTTGTTGATATTCTTGTTTTTTTGGTTTTTTTTGTAGCACTGCAGTTAGTGCTGCAGAAAAGCAGTCTTCCATTATTGAAATGTTAAGAACCTACTCTATAGTCTAGTAAGTAACAAAACCAATCTGGGCAACATAGTGAGACCTTGTCTCTACAAAAAAAAAAATAAAAAATAAAAAAATCAGCCAGGACCTGAGAGATACAAGGAGACTGTGCTGCCCTCCAGGGCTCACCATTTACAGTGGAGGCTTCATATAAAAAAAAAAACCCTACAGGCAGTGCTGAGTGGTCCAAGCACAGGTGGGGGTCTAAGAGCCCCCCATCCGTCAGCTGTGACTGACAAAGTGGAATAATGAATATGAAAGCACTTTGCCAACTGTAGAGAGATGTGACCACTTGCAAGTTTATTTTTCTCAATAATCCTCAAGGTACTCAATGCTGAAGTCCAGTGGTTGGCCAACTGTGTCCTGGGTTTCTGCTGGGGAGGGAAGGGGGTGGGGTTCCCAGAATTCAGTCACCTCAGGGCCACTTGGCCTGTTGCATATTGGCACACAATGTGGGATGTTGTAATCGGTAAAATTTCCATTGCTTAAAAAAATGTGTGGCTCCTTTACCACCCAGAGGCCACAGCACTGTGTCTGGGGGTCTGGTGGGAAGCTGCATGGGGAAGTGTTTGTGGAAAGACCACTCCTCAATGGAGGCCCAGTTATTATTTTATTTTATTTATTTATTTATTTATTTATTTTTGACTTGGAGTCTCACTCTGTCGCCCAGACTGGAGTGCAGTGGCCGCTCCTAGCCACCGCAGCCTCGACCTGCTGGGCTCCGGCGATCCTTCCGCCTCAGCCTTCCAAGTAACTGGAACTATAGGCACGCGCTACCATGCCCGGCTAATTTTTTGATTTATTGTAGAGATGAGGTCTCGCCAAGTTGCCCAGGTGGGTCTCGAACCCGCGGGCTCAGGCAATTCACTCACCTCAGCCTCCCAAGGCGCGGGATTACAGGCTGAGCCACCCAACCCGGCTTATTTTTGGTTTTTTTTCAGTTGGAGTCTCACTCCATCACCCAGACTGGTGTAAGTACAGTGGCACACTCACCACCACCCCAGCACCGACCTGCTGGGCTCCAGTGATCCTTCCGCCTCAACCTTCCGAGTAGCCAGAACTACAGGTGCACACTACCGCACCCGGCTCACTTTTTCATTTATTGTAGAGACGAGGTCTTGCCAAGTTGCCCGGGCTGATCTCCAACCCGCGGGCTCGGACAAGCCACTCACCTCAGCCTCCCAAAGTGCTGGGATTACAGGCTAAGCCACTGAACCCGGTCCAAGTCCCCAGATTGGACCGTGCCCCAGGGCCACCTGCCCAGTCCCTAGGACAGAGAGGGTAGCCCCCATCCTGCAACCTGGCCCAGGCAGAGGTCCCACCAGCAGCCTCCCGGTCTGAAGCCACAGGCTGCTCCTCTGGCTCTACCCCGCCCAGCCCGTCCCTCATCCAGCAAAATGATGCTGCATTCCTCACTACCCCTCACCTGCCAGGGAATAAATACAGCAGTGGAGGTGGGCCAGGCTCCTGAGGGCCCAGGGCAGGGAGGAGCATCCTGCAGGGGGCAAAGGAACAGGCACTGAAGGAAGCCGAGAGGAAGCCATCCCAGGCCCCTGGGGAGGGCTGAATGGAGATCTCAGGGTGCTCAGAGACTGGTCGTCCTGTCCTCCAGCTAGTGCAGAGTCAGAAGGGCGGGTATCTGCAGTTCCTCCTGAGTGCACTGGGCTCTGACGGATTATCTAGACAAGTGATGAGCTGGTCGGTCTGGCTTGGATGGGCTTAGAGACCCAAGTCAGCCCTGCTCTCTCCTTTACTGCCCTGTTGAGTGCCCATTTCCACAATCATATCCACTCCTTTGGGGCAAGGCTGCATCCTTCTCTTAACAAAGGTGTTCTGCAGAACTGACCCTCATGGTTCTCAAATCCTGTAGTCCATTTGGTTTAGGAAAAAAGTCTCCTAGATCCTCTTGGAAATTCCTAATGCACAGTAGCACAGTAAAGGCTCTGAGAAGTCCTACAGCAAACAAAACGATTCAATTTGGTTTAACCCAGTGTTTTCCAAACTTACAAGACCTTCCTCTATAACTGAAGGGCCCGGCGTTTGGAGAGAATGTTTCTGGCAACAGCAATTAGGTCCCATCCCCAGATGTGAGGGCACGACCCCTCTTTCCTAGAAGGTTCCCCACCTCATTCAGATGTTTTGTTTCACAGATTATCCTGTGAGGTCCTGAGCGACCAGAGCCTGGAGACCCTGCTGCACTGCATACCCCGCCTCCCCCAGCTGAGTCTACTGCAGTAAGACCCTACTTCCTGTTTCCGGTTCCCTGTGCCTGCGGCCCTGAGGCTCTGACATGGCAAAGCCAACCCCTCTTTCTCCTCCCTCTTCCTCTTGGGTGGTTTCATCATTTTATCTGGTACAACTGGGCCCTCAAATCTGCTTCCAGTTCTACCCTAATAGTTTGTCAACCTGTAGCGGGGAGGGGACTGCCTCCTCTGGGTCTTAGTTTCCTCATCTGACAAATGGGATTAATATTCCCCAACCTCCCCAGGGCTGGGACTCAAACGGGGCGCTCTAAAAGCACCTTAAGGAATGGAAGGCTTGTGACAAACGCTGTCATACTTCTCCCCTCCCATGAGAGGCCACCCACCCCCAGAAAGTGATTGCACAAATGCAGGTCCTGTGGATGTCACACGGCGCGTTTTAAAGGTCACTGTCAAACCCTGCAGAAGGGGAATTTAAGCAGCATTTGAAGTATTTAAAACTCTGGTTTCTAATTTCAGCTCAGACTGGTTAGAATTTAAACAGGATTTACTTTAAATATTCTAGCAGGGGGGAAGCAGCTACAGCTGAGATATGAAATACAACAGGAAATTAAATCATAGTATTAATAACAGCAACACAAGTGCTAAGGCCGAGGACTCTGCGATGCCTAAGATGACTCACACCGCTAGGATCTCGCTCATCCTTGAGTGTTATTGGGGAGAGAGGGAGGAGACATGTGAGAGCATTCCAGAAGTCAGCAAGTGCAGCCCAGCTCACCGCACCCCACAGGACCCCCTAATAGTCCTAACTCGCCCGGAGAAAATGGGTCAGGACAGGCTCTTTTGGACATGAAGTTAAAATGAACATGGGAAACCTCAGACCAGAGAGGGACTTCTCTATGCCTAAGTCACACAGCATCAGCCCCAACTCCCCACCTGTCTTTGGAATGGGTGGCCAGGCGGACCCTTGCCAGGATTTGAACTTTATATCACTCACCCCATAGCACTTGTGCATCTACGGTAGGCCAGGCACTGTTTGGGGTGCTAGAGATATGGAGAAGAAAAAAGACTAGGCCCTTGGCCTCTCGGCACTCACCTTATAGTGGAGAGAGCGGAACAATAAGCAGGGGAAAATCAAATAAGATGACCTCTGCCAGGAGGAGGCATTTTTCCAGGGACATGTACAGAGTAACTGGAGAGGTGCTTTAGATGATGGCAGAAGTGGTCAGGGAGCATCTCTGAGGAGGGCCGTGGCGCTGAGACCCAAAGGAGAAGAGAAGCCAGCCTCGTGGAGCTCAGGAAACGGCATTCCAGAATGAGGGAACAGCATGTGTGAGGCTCTGAGGCACTATTGAGCTTGGCTGGCAGTGCAAGTCCTATCCTATGAGAGGAGGTGGGGAGATGGGCATGACACACAGGGCTGGGAGTCACGGGGAAGACTGGATTTTTGTTTCTGGGAACTTGGAAGGCAGAGGAATGGTGTGGGGTTTCAAAAGCTCAATCTGATTCTAGGTAGAGGGGGCAAGGGTAGAGATGAGAGCAAGGAGGAGCTGTGTTTTCCAGATGAGGACACTGAGGCTCAGAGAGGTTATGCGACTTGTCCAAGGCCAACTGGAACTCGAACCCAAGTCTGCCTGATCCCGAGTCCCTGCTGGTCCCCCGAACCTCTGCCAGCTGCCAGCTTCCTCATTGCCTTGCTGACCCCTGGCCCTCCCCGTCCTCCCTGTCCTTCCCTTTCACCCTGTCCAGGTTCCTCTCCAGATTCCTTGTCCACTGATCATGCAACTCCTTCCTTCTCAGGCTGAGTCAGACGGGACTGTCCCCTAGAAGCCCCTTCCTGCTGGCCAACATCTTCAGCCTGTGCCCACGGGTTCAAAAGTTGGATCTCAGGTGGGCACTGCCCTGGCACAAGCAGGACTAGTCTTGGAGGGTTGTGCCTGGAGACTGGTGGGCCCTGGGGATGGAATGAGGGCAGCGGGACCCAAGTCACAGGCTGGGCTTCTGGAGGAGGGCTGTCGGCCTCTGGGGATGCCTGGGGCTGTGGCCAAGGGTGCTGACCCAGTGCCATCTGCCCCAGGTCCCTGCACCATGTGACCCTGCACTTCAGATCCAGTCAGGAGCAGGAAGATGTGTGCTGTGGGTAAGTTCCCCGAAATGTGCCCAAGCAGCCAGTGACTTCGGGGGACCAGGAAATCTGCCTCCTGGGTGGCCAGAGCAAAGTAGACTGCCCACCACCAGATGCTGCCCCGGAAGGACCCTGCAGGGGGACTTGGCTTCGCCCAACATGAAGCAACAGGGGTCCAGGTGGGACCTGTGGATTTTGGACATTTGCAGAGTGCCCAATCTTGGGTGGAGTCCACCAGGAGTTCAGGGGCTGGACCTCAGACTAGCCAGGGCAGAGCGCTCTGAGCGGCCAGACACCCCATCCTTTGCTCATCTCCCCCATCCCCCGCCTGGCAGACTCACGGGCTGCAGCCTCAGCCAGGAGCATGTGGAGTCCCTGTGTCAGTTGCTGAGCAAGTGTGAAGGGCTCAGCCAGCTAGAGTAAGTTGGGGAGGAGGAGGGAGGAAGAGAAGGAGGGGGCGGGAGAGGAAGAGGAGGAGGAGGAGGAGGAGGAAGAGGGGCATGGGAGCACGCACCCAGGTGGCACTGGAGGAGGTGTGAGCATCAGTGTGTGCACCTGTGCCCACCTACACCTTTCAGGGCCAGCTTTCAGGGATGCCTGGCACTTTGGGTCCCATCCTGAACCCTTCTCGTACCCATTCTCTCCCACACCCATGCCCGCCATGGCAGAACTTAGCTTCACAGTGTGCGCCTCTGACTGGGGTAGCCCCTCAGCCTTAAGCTCTGCTGGTAGTTGGGGACACAACAAAGGCTCCATTGTTATCCTGGCAGGGGTTACCAAATGGCAGCCAGTGGAGGGACCCAGAGCCAGCCAGAGGGGGGTCTTGTGGGCTCTTGTCTCGTTTCGTCTTGTAGCAGTATTTGCACAGCCCAAATAGCGCAGCCCCCACACAAGTGGAAAAATAGTAATAGCTAATCCCTGTTGAGCACTTTCTCCACTATTCTCTATTTTTTTAAGGGGTCTTGCTATGTTGCCCAGGCTGGTCTTGAATGTCTGGCTCCAAGCAATCCTCTCGCCTCGACCTCCCAAAGTGCTGGGATTATAGGTGTGAACCACCACGCCCAGTCTTTCTCTACTATTCTAAGCATTTTGCATGTTCTTTTTATTCTTCCAGTATTCCTAGATACTCTGATTTTTCACATCGGTGAGGCACAGAGAATTTACAAACTTGCCCAAAGTCATGCAGTTTTGCTCACAGTTGTTAGAAGTCCAGTCTAGGAGCTGTCTACCAAAACTACCACACCATTTCAATTACCATTGTGACATAGCTAAGATGAGAAATATGGCCACTGAAAATCATGTATTTGAAAAAAAGACGAACATGCAATATGTCTGAGTTTTTGTCTTTTTCATTGTAGAGAAAAATGTTTCTTTTTTTTTTTTTTTTTGGAGTTGAAGTTGGAGTCTCACTCTGTCGCCCAGATTGGAGTGCGGTGGCCGCTCCCAGCCACTGCAGCCTTGACCTGCTGGGCTCCGGCAATCCTTCCGCCTCAGCCTTCCAAGTAGCTGGAACTACAGGCGCGCGCTTACCATACCCGGCTGATTTTTTTGATTTATTGTAGAGATGAGGTCTCGCTGCCCAGGCAGGTCTCGAACCCGCAGGCTCAGGCAATCCACTCACCTCAGCCTCCCAAAGGCACGAGATTATAGGCTGAGCCACCGAGCCTGGGTATGTTTCTTATTTTATTTTATTTTATTTTTATTTTTAGTTTTAGTTTTAGTTTTATTTTGTTGAGTTGGAGTCTCACTCTGTCGCCCAGACTGGAGTGCAGTGGCCGCTCCCGGCCACCGCAGCCTCGACCTGCTGGGCTCCGCGATCCTTCCACCTCAGCCTTCCGAGTAGCCGGAATTACAGGCATGCGCTACCACGCCTGGCTGATTTTTTTTTTTTTTATTGTAGAGATGAGGTCTCGCCAAGTTGCCCAGGCGGGTCTCAAACCCATGGGCTCAGGCAATCCACTCACCTCAGCCTCCCAAGGCGCGGGATTACAGGCTGCGCCACCGAGCCCGGCATGTTTCTTATTTTAAAGACTATTTTTTAAGTGGCTTCATGAGACAAACAGATTTTTAAATAAAGTTTCTCAGCAAAAGACAAAATAAGCATCAAAAGTATCAAAGTCAGAGTTGGAAATCAGACACTCTGGGGCACCAGGTACTGTTGTTCCTGAAACTGCAGCTAAACCCCAGACGCCACAGTGCAGGGAAGTGGAAAGGGATCCAGGGTGGTTCCCACACAGCATTCCCAAGTTAAGGAGGAATCTCAGGATCGATGCCTCCTCCAGACACTTGTCTTTCTCCAGAATTTACTCTTAAACAACCTACACAGGCTGAGGGTGTGGGAAAAGCTGATGGGTTTTCCTGGAACTCCCGAAAGCCTGCTAGAGGCCCACATGTCCTGGGAGTAGCCACCAGATGTTGCAAGAAAGATGAGGAATGGTGGGCTGTGAGGAGGGGGTGGGGGCGGGGAACGTGGGAGTTGATGGTGAGTCTGGTAGTGGTGGTGGTGGTGGTACTGGGTGAGGTGGTGTTGAGTCATGGTGATAATGGTGGTAGCGATGGTGATGGTGAGGGGGGTGGTGGTGGTGGTATTGGGCGAGGTGGTATTGAGTCATGGCGATAATGGTGGTGGTGGGGTACTGGGCATGGTGGTGTTGAGTTGTGATGGTAATGATGGTGGTGATAATGGTGATGGCACTGGGCACAGTGGTATTGAGTCATAGTAGTGATGGTGGTGGTGATGATGGTAGGGCCTGGGGCTAGGGGTGGCATAGGGCCCAGGAGCAGTGACAGTGGATGCCATGGCCACAGCAACTGTGAGGAGCAGGTACTGGTGAAGGAGACACACCTGACCACCAGTGATCACTTCTTACCTCTTGCAGCCTCTCAGCAAACCTGCTAGGTGATAGCGGGCTCAAATGCCTTTTGGAATGGCTACCGCAGGTGCCCATCTCCGGTTCTCTTGAGTAAGTGGGAAGCAGCCTTAGGAAAGCAAGGAGGAAAACCTTCCTGGCCAAGAGCATGAACAGGCTTCTTCGGAGGGCATCCCTGGAGGACAAGGACTGGGGAGGGAAAGGGGGTGATTCTTACCTGGACCTGCCCTGGCCTTGGGGCCTTCCTTACTTCCCTCAGGCCCTCCAGGGGTAGAACCTGCACCAGATACCCCAGAGAGGCTAGGGTAGACCTGCCCCTCCACGTACCCCTTCAGTCAAGCTGACCCCTGGACAGAGAGACGATATCCACCCCTAACAAGCTGATGTAGCACTGAGCTGCCCCAGCTCCCGGTCCATCCTGTCCCTGATGCTCTTCTGATCCAGTTTGGGACATAAGCATAGAGATGTCCTGCATCAGGAGGAAGAGCCCTAGGAAGTCATCCACATGCTTGCACGAGCTCCCCAGAGACCCGGGAGACTGACAGCCAGAGCCAGGTTATAACCTGTTGCTAGGCCACAGAGCTTCACACTCTGGGACCCGTCCCCGACCACAAGGGCAGCGACCACAAGGGCAGCAAGTGCCGCTTTTGAGAATGCAGGGTCTGGTTCTGGTGCCAGCTCTGCCTGTGTGGGGATAGTATCCCTTCTGAGCCTCAGTGTCTACATCTGGAGAATGGATGCTTAGACACTGGGGCCTCTCTTCCCGGAAATGACAGCTGGAGGGGAGATGAGGGGCTGGACCGGGCTCCCTGGAAGTCCTGCCTCCCCCCACCCCACCCAAATCTCACCTTTCTTCTAGTCTGAGTCACAACAGCATCTCTCAGGAGAGTGCCCTGTACCTTGTGGAGACCCTGCCCTCCTGTCCACGTGTCCGGGAGGCCTTGGTGAAGTAAGGCGATGTCAGCACCTCTGCTGTGTGGGGAAGCAAGACTCTCACTTTGTGGTCCCCACCACCCCACCTCTCTCTGAGTCTCGGGGTTCCTGAACATGGGATCACCGTTTCCATCCCCGATACCCGGGTGCCACGGGGACCAGGGAGGTCATGGGGGTGGGGAGGGCTGGGTATTCCCAATCTCACAAGATGAGTTTGGGGACCACAAGAGTGTGGTCCTTCTGTGGCTTCCGCCCTCCCTGTCCCTGTCCCCCCTCATGTCCCCTGGCTGCTAGGACACTGACACGCCTCTCTCTCCTCAGCCTGGGCTCTGAGCAGAGCTTCTGGATTCACTTCTCCAAAGAGGAGGAGGATGGGAAGACACTCAGGTAATCCCTGGTGGGGTGATGGGGACGGGGGCGGGGGGGAAGCTGGGCCTGTGGCGGCCTCCGTGCCTCCTTTTTCACCGGGCCCTCTCCTCCAGGGGTCAGCCTGCCTCAAGCTTGGCTTTGGTCCCCCAGGTCACCCCCTCCCCCAGGCCTCCAGTCTCAGGCAGGTTCTTGTACTGCACTTGAGCCTTAGCCACGTCCTAGCTGTAAGTCTTGAGGCTTCCGAGTGTCGTGGTTAAGATTCGGGAGCCACCTGAGAGTAAGTCCCCACTGTGCCACGTACCAGCCCTGTGACTCTGGACAAGTCACTGAACCTCTCTTTGTTTCAGTTCCTCGGCTGAAAATAGAATAATAGTACAACCTACCCTTCGGGGCTATTGTGAGGATTAAATGAGTTACAAAGTGCTGGAAGGGACCTGGCTCCTCACAGCGCTAAATCAGCTATTACTGCCCCTTACCTCTGTCTCTCTCTCCACCTCACTGCCACTGCCTTGAGCCAGTTCCTCTATGTATCTGACTTCATCTGTGAGCATGGCCTCTGAACGGGTCCCCTACCTCTGGACAGGCCTTTTCCAATCCATTCACCCCACAGCCCCAGAAGCATCTTCACAACACACACACCTGACTTCACCACTCTCCTGCTCTAAGCCCTTCCATGGCTCCCATTGCCCCCTGGATAAAGTTGAAATTCCTTAGCCTGGTCTTCTCCCTCACAGTCTGATCCAGCTGTCACCTCCTGCTGTGTTCTCTACCCCCAACACCACACCACACACACACACTCTACACACATGCCTCGCACACCACATATATACCATGCCCACACCCCACACCACATACATACCACAGACACCAGACACACATGCATGCCACATACTACACACATACCACATACACATCACACACAAAACCATATACTATATACTGCACACACCCAGACACACACCACACATACACACATACCACACACACAAGCATCACATACACCACACACACACATACCACACACACACCACATACATACCATACACTACATACCACACACACACCACACTCCACATACATGCAACACACATACACTACAGCCACAAGGGACCTTCACTGTTTGTTCTGGAACACACCCTGCTAGTGGAGCTGCCCAGCCTCTGTGTGCTCAGCCGGACGGTCTCTTCTTTGCCTTTTCTGAGACCAAATTCTCGCACCCCTTTAAGACCCAGCCCAAATGCTGGCCCTCTGGAAGCCTGCAGCAGCCCTGGCCCATCAGAGCGAGCTGCCTTGTGGTTCTGCTTGACCTTTTGGCCCGACTGTCTGCTGGCCACCCAGGGTGGAGGGCAGGCATGGTGAGGATCCAGCCCCACCTCCCTTCCAAGGGAGCAGACCTGGAGAGGAAGGGAGCAGTCACGGCATGGGGTCCCCAGTCATACCCACCTGCATGGAAGCCCAATTTGGTCTGCCCTTCTCACCAGTTGTGTGTCCTTGAGTCTGTCAGTTTCCCTGCCTGTAACTAATGCTGTGAGAATTACACGAGAGGCAGGTACCCTGTGCCCCTGAGGCTGGCGCAATGCCTGGCGTGGAGTTGGGGTCCCATGAGCAACTTCCTCCTGACATTTCTTGGGGGAGGGGGCTCTCCCCAAAAGGACAGGAGGCTTCCAGGACATGAGTGGCATCTGTGACCTTTCTCGGGCCCTGCTCCAGGTCTTTGCCCATAGGCCCTCCGGGAGGTTGGGAGGAAGCAGGGCAGTGGCACCCAGAGGCCTCACCAGGCTCTGCCCCTGTCCTCTTCCCTCAGGCTGAGTGAGTGCAGTTTCAGTCTACAGCAGGTGCCCAGACTGGCCACCATCCTGAGCCAGTCCCTCCAGCTGACAGAGCTCACGTGAGTGCCCAGCCCAGCCCACGGGGACAGCTGAGGGGTGGGGACACCCTGCCAGAGCCACCCACGACTGACCTCTGTCCCCAGACTGACCCAGTGCTGCCTGGACCAGGAGCAGCTGACCGTCCTCCTGAGGCTGGTGCGGCGACCCACAGGACAGCTCAGCCTCAGGTATCTCCTTCCTCCCTGACCCTAGAGGGGGCCATGGCATGAATGAGGGGCAGGGGCAGATACTGGGGTGTGGGGTCCCCCCAGTAATGGCCCCAGCCATTTTCTGCACCCAAAACCCTTGCCACCTGGACCCAGAAAGGACCCTGTCCATCTGTCCCAGAGACTTCCCAAGGCGTACAGAAAAGCTGTCCCTCTCCAGGATGGGGCCTGTGTTTGGGAATTTAAGGGAGGAAGGGAAGGAAGGAAGGAAGCTCCACAGAATATCCAACTGAGGACAAAAATAACATAAAACTGTCTGGCTCAGTGGCTCACACCTGCAATCCTAGCTCTTTGGGAGGCTGAGGCAGGAGGATTGCTTGAGCCCAGGAGTTCATGTCCAGCCTGGGCACCATAGCGAGACCTCATCTCTACAAAATGTTTTTTAAATGAGCCAGGCATGGTGGTGTGCACCTGTAGTTCCAGCTACTTGGGAGGCTGAGGCAGTAGGATTGACTGAGCCCAAGAGGTTGAGGCTGTGGTGAGCCATGATCATGACACGACCTTCCAGCTTGGGTGACAGAGTGAGACTCCGACTCCTGAAAGAAAAATTAACATAAAACCAATATCATGTTTGTTTGTTCACCATGATAATTTCTGGTTTTGTTTTTGTTTTGAGTTGGAGTCTCATTCTGTCACTCAGATTGGAGTGCACTCTTGGGTGTCCTAACCGAACTGGGATTATGTAGAAAATGTTCTTATTTTTGGAGATTCATGGTGAAATATTTAGGAATGATATTAAGGAGGTCTATAACTACTTAAAAATACTTCAGTCAAAAAGATAAAAATATGAAGCACATATGGAAAATATGAACAATTGCCAAACCCAGGTAATGGGAACATGAGTTTAAAAAAAATTATTCCTCTTAATTTTGATCTTTTTCTAAGTATTTAAAAATTATCAACCAGGCTTGGTGGCTCAGCCTGTAATCCCAGCGCTTTGGGAGGCTGAGGTGAGTGGATTGCCTGAGCCCATGGGTTCGAGACCCACCTGGGCAACTTGGTGAGACCTCATCTCTACAATAAATCAAAAATTAACCAGGCGTGGTAGTGCGTGCCTGTAGTTCTGGCTACTTGGAAGGCTGAGGCGGAAGGATCGCCGGAGCCCAGCAGGTCGAGACTGCGGTGGCCGGGAGCGGCCACTGTACTCCAGTCTGGGCGACGGAGTGAGACTCCAACTCAAAAAAAAAAAAAAAAAAAAATTATCTGGGCATGGTGACACGTGCCTGTGGTCCCAGCTACTTGGAAGCCTGAGTGGAAGGATCACCTGAGCCCAGCAGGTTGAGGCTGCGGCGGCCATGAGTGTGCCACTGCACTCCAGTCTGGGCAATAGAGTGAGACTCTAACAAAAAAAAATACACCTAACAAAACTTGCCATCCTAACCATCGTTAAGTGAACAGTTCAGTGGTGTTATGTACATTCACATTTTTGTGCAACCAATCTCCAGAACTCTTTTCATCTTGCAAAACTGAATGTACCCAGGAAACAACACCCCTGACTTCCTCCCACAGTCCCTGGCTGCCACCAGCCTATCTCCTGTCTCTATGAATTTGCCTACTTTAGACATCTCACAGAAGTGGGGTCACACAGTATTTGTCCTTCTGTGACTGGCTTATTTTACTTGGCATAATGTCCTCACAGTCATCTATGTTGCAGCATGTCAGAATGTCCTTCCTTTTGAAGGCTGAATAGTATTGCATTATATGGTTAGGCCACATTTAGTTTCCCTATTTGCCCACAATGGACTCTTGGATTGCGCCTACCCATGGCTATTTTGATAACACTGCTGTGAACACTGGTGTACACATCTCTCTTCAGGTCCCTGCTTTCCATGATTTGGGTTATGTATCCAAAATTGCTAAATCATCCAAAATGACATTTTAAAATAAGATTTTTTCATGGTCTCAAATTAATATCTACTTATTTTAGAAATTTGAGGAGAATCCAAAAAGGGTAAAGAAGAAAATAGTGCTTTAAAACAATTCAATATAACTTTAAAGCAGGAATCCTTTAAACAACTCTCTTTTTTCCTGCTTCTAAATTAATGTAAGAAGTTTAGGAAACACAGAAAGTCAAATAAATACAATAAATACTACTCATGAGAATTCTGTCGTCTAAACCGGGAGTCTCCAACCTCTGGGCCACAAACTGGGACCACTCTGTGGCCCGTCAGGAACCAGGTGAGTGGTGGGTAGTCATCTGTATTCACAGCTGCTCGCCATCGCTCACATTACTGCCTGAGCTCCGTCTCCTGTCAGATCAGTGGGGACATTAGATTCCCATAGGAGTGTGAACCCTGTTGTGAACTACCCATGCGAGGGATCTAGGCTGCACACTCCTTATAAGAATCTAATGTCGGGTGATCTGAGGTGGAGCTGAGGCGGTGATGCTAGCACTGGGGAGTGGCTGCAAGTGCAGATTCACATGAGCGGTGAGGTTTGCCCAGAGACCATAATAAATCAATTGCAGATTTATATTAAAACCCTATCAGGGAGTGGCACGTGAGTTGATGTACTTTAACTGTACAGCTGCGTCTGGTGAAAATCTGACACTTATTTTTGTCTATGTGTGACCCACCCATTGTTTTATTTATTGCTTCCATCCATGCCTCTCTTTTTTTTATGGTGAGTTGTATAACTATTTCATCATGCATTACAATGTAATAATAATAGAAATAAAGCGTACAATAAATATTATGCGCTTGAATCATTCCAAAACCATCCCCTCCCCCTCAGTTCATGGAAAAATTGTCTCCCACGAAACCAGTCCCTGATGCCAAAAAGGTTGGGGACTGCTGATCTAAACAACCACCATAAACATTGAATGTATTTTCCTCATTTCTCTGCCTCCCTCTTTCTTGCCATTTTTTTTCTTTTTAAAATGCAGAATTGGGATCATGTTTTTCTATAGTTTTGTTTCCTTATCTTTGCAATGTAATACGTGGACCTTTTTTAAAATCTAAAAATATCATTTAAACAATAACATTTTCTGTTTGGATTGTTGCAACAGCACTTGTTGGAATAAGGGTGATGTTAATTTCATTTTTTATGCTTATGCCTAGTTATATAATTTGTTTTGTTTTGAGTCAGGGTCTCACTCTGTCACCCAGGCTGGAGTGCAGTGGCAGGATCATGGTCCACCGCAGCCTTGACCTCCTGGGCGTAGGTGATCCAAGTAGCTGAGACTATAGGGGCGCGCCACTATACCCAGCTAATTTTTTGTAGAGACGGGTCTTCCTCTGTTGCCCAGGCTTGTAGTTTTAAAATAAGCAAAAAGCCTCTAAGTCTCCCTTAACGCCCTTCCCTCTTTCTCCTCCCATCCCCTTTTGTGACAGGGTGGAGGAGCCGTGGGTGGGCAAAGCCAGTGTAATCTCCCTGCTGGAAATCTGTGCCCAGGCCTCAGGCAATGTCATTGAAATAAGGTGAGTCCAGGGAGGAGGTCCTCTTGGAATTTTTCATCTTTTCATGGGCATTGGGGACGTTCCCCTGACCATCCTTCATCTTATCCCATGGGGTAGTAGCTGTGTCACCAGCAAGTTCTCTATGTCCCCAAGATGGCAGGACATACATGAAAGGCATACATACCTGGGGCGTACATGAGAGGCTACACGTGTTTGTTAGGACTTGTGCAGTAGCCAAGCTGCGAGGTCAGAGGACAGCATCCCCAGATTTAAGACAAGGGCTGTTGAAGCCAGGCAGTCATGGCTGGGAGTCCATACCGGAGGCCTAGAGGTGGCCATGGAGCCTAGAGGGCCATGGATGCAATCACACACATCCTGGCTCTGTGACAGAATGCCATGGAGTAGCTAAGGCAAAGGCACTGGCATCCCACTCACCTATGACTGGATCCCACCTCAGCCATTCCGACCTCCACCCCGCCCCCCGCTCTAATAAAGGGGTATAATTCCACCTCCTCTGGGTGGAAGAGTTTCCAGAGCTGGAGCACAGAGAGTCGTCTGATGTGCCATCACAGCCCCACACCCTGCCCCACCTTCCTTCTGTCCTCAAGAGTGACAAGGAGACGCTTGGAAAACTTTGTCGTCCCCTATAGCCCTCTTCCCGAGAGCACCCCCACAAGAGAACACCCAAGTAAAGGCGGTGAGCTCAGAGTACAAATGCAGCCCCCAGACATGGGCCCTCCCCCTCCACCACCACATTTGTCCCTTGATTTGCTCCCTCAGAACATTCTGGAACTGCCCCTCCGATTGGCTTTCTGTCATGGTCTGAAAAGCCTCATCAACTCATTCACTTATAGTTGTTGAAAAGGCAAATACACGTAGGGAAGCCGCTGCTTTTCCATCCAAGCAGGGCCCTGGCAGGGGAGGAGGGGCCTGGGAGCTCAGAGTCGGAGCCCGGCAGCCCTGCGGTCAGCTCGGCCTGCCAGGGACAGCTGCCTGGGCCTCACGCCGGCTGCCCCTCCCTCCTCAGCATCTCCAGGACCCAGCAGCAGCAGTTTTGCATCCGGCTGGAGTTTCCTCGTCAGGAAGAGAACCCAGAGGCCGTGGCCCTCAGGTGGGACCCAGCACCTGAGGCCCCAAGGGCATGGATGGTGCTGGGGGGGCAGGGCCCACAGCTGCTTCTGACCAATATTCCTCGTACCCCTACTCACAGGCCCCTGATGTCCCAAGACTTCACCCAGGAGGCCTGGCCCAGCCTGTTCTCTGTGCTCCTCATTCCCACCCCAAGCCCCCGTCATCCCCAGCAGCTCTCATGACTTTGGGACTTTTGTACAGGCTGTTCCTTCTACCAGAATATTCTCTTCTCACTTCCCCTCTTCCTCCTTCTTCACCTAGCTAACTTGTCCTGATCCTTGGGGCCTCAGCTTAAATGCCACTGCCTCAGGGAGGCCCCCCGAGTCCCAAGACTGTCAGATCCTCCTGGTGTCCACTCTTCTAGATGCCTGCATTCACAGCACTCCAATCCATACGTGCGGTTTTGGAAATTAAAATGTCACCCCTGTTGAGCGGATGCAGCCCTGCACCTATATGTTCTGGGGAATAGAGCATGGCTGGCTCTCCGCCCCAACTCATCTCCTCAGCTGGGTACCCTTATACAGTGAACAACCTGCACAACCATACCAACTGCCCCATCGGGAACCCTCCTTTTCCTAAGCGAATAACAAATCGTGGGACATTTATTTACCACTACACCATAAGCTCCTTGCAAGCAGGGACTGAATCCTGCATACTGGATCAGGTGTTCAGATCCAGTGTTCAGAAACCACCACCTCCCTGTCTGCCTCCAGGTTGGCTCACTGTGACCTTGAGACCCACCACAGCCTTCTGGTCAGGTGGCTGATGGAGACTTGTGCTAGGCTGAAGCAGCTCAGGTTAGCACCTGGAAACACCATCTGGGGCCCTGAGTTCTCTGGGTCACCCAGCGCCCGCTCCAGGCCGCATGTGACCTGGCATTCTCGCTTCCCTGTGCATGAGAGAACCACACTGGGCCAGTGGAGGGAGGGCCCTGGGTGGCACAGGGGAGCACTTGGGTGGTTCTTTCTCCTTCCTTGGCTCCATATGGGGTGGCCCCTGAGGTGTGTCTGGCCTGAAATTTCCTGGAATGTACCTGGGTCTTTCAGCTTGTCCCAAGTTAACCTCTATGATGATGAAGATGCCAGCTCCCTGCTGCTTCAGAGCCTTCTGCCATCCCTCTCTGAGCTGAAGAAATTCCGGTATGCAGACAAGATGTCGCTCAGGTCCCTCGCGGCTCCGCCCTCCTGATACCGCCCTTACCTTGCTCTGGGGATTTGTGTTCTGCCCTGTGGACAGAAAACACAGGTGGCCCTGGAGACAATATTCTAGGTTCATGGTCATAGACATGACCTTAGTAACATCAAGCCTCATGAAGAGAAAGTTGCTCCCTTTTCAATGCTCTTCCTTTGTTTTTCTTCCCTTTACTTTTAAAATAATTACAGGCCAGGTGCTCACACCTGTAATCCTAGCACTTGGGGAGGCCAAGGCGGGAGAATTTCCAGCTCCCTGTTTCGCTTGAGCCCAGGAGTTCAAAACCAGCCTGGACAACATAGCCAGACCTCGTCTCTGTTAAAAAAAAAAAAAATCAAGCCGGGCTCGGTGGCTCAGCCTGTAATCCCGCGCCTTTGGGAGGCTGAGGTGAGTGGACTGCCTGAGCCCACGGGTTCGAGACCCACCTGGGCAACTTGGCGAGACCTCATCTCTACAAAAAATCAAAAATTAGCCAGGCGTGGTAGTGTGCTCCTGTAGTTCCAGCTACTTGGAAGGCTTAGGCAGAAGGATCGCCGGACTCCAGTCTGGATGACAGAGTAAGACTCCAACTCAAAAAAAAAAAAAAAAAAAATCAAGATAATTAGCCGGGCATGGTGGCACACACCTGTAGTCCCAGCTACTTGGGAGGCTGAGGCAGAAAGATTGCCTGAGCCCAGGAGGTTGAGGCTTTGGTGAGCCATGAACATGCCACTGCACTCCAGCCTGGGTGACAGAGTAAGAACCCAACTCAAAAAAAAAAAAAAGAAAGAAAGAAAATAATTACAAACTAATAAAAAGTTGCAAGAAGACATAAGAACTGCCATCTACCATTTACCCCAACTCACCTTTTTTCCATATTTTTCACATCTTTTGTTCATATTTTTCATGTTTGCTCCTCCGCTCGCCCCCTCATTTTCTGAACCATTCAAAAGTAATTGTAATCATGCCCTTTACCCTTTAATATTTCAGTGAAATTCCTAAAAACAAGGACATTCCACAATCCAGCAAGATTATAAAATTCAGAACACTTAACAGTGACACACTACTATTATCTAACAACAGCGTATACTTCTGTGTGATCAGTTGCCCATTAATGTCGTTTATTGCATTTTTCCCCAGTCCTGGGTCCAGTCTGGCATCACACACCACGCTTTGCATCATCTCTGCTTAGTCCCCTTCCTCAGCCCTTCTTTGTCATTCATGGCAGCGGCTCTGACAGTCATGGGCCATTATTCCACCGTGTCTTTCAACTTGGGTTTGTCAGATGATTAGATGTGGAGTCTGCGTTTTGGGCAGGACCGTCCCACGAGTGACACTGTTGTTCAGCATCAGGGCACAGGGTGTCTACATGTCCCCTTGCCAGTGACTTTTACTGTGGTGACCAGTGAAGGTGGTGTCTGCCAGATCTCTCCACTTGCAAAGTGTCATGAACGCACATCACATGAGGAGACATTTTAAGACTATGTAACTATCCTATTCTTCCTCAAACTTTCACCCATGGATTTTAGCTTCTGCTGATAATCTTGTCTGAATTATCAGTTATCAGCATGATGGTTGCAAAATGGATATTTCCTAACTTCCAATTTTCTTTCTTCCTTTTTTTTTTTTTGAGTTGGAGTCTCACTCTGTTGCCCAGACTGGAGTGCAGTGGCAGCCTCTACCTGCTGGGCTCTGGCGATCCTTCCGCCTCAGCCTTCCAAGTAGCTGGAGCCACAGACGCGTGCTACCACACCCAGCTAATTTTTTGATTTATTGTAGAGACGAGGTTTCCCCAATTTGCCCAGGTGGGTCTCGAATCCACAGACTCGGGCAGTCCACTCACCTTGGTCTCCCAAAGTGCTGGAATTACAGGCTGAGTCACTGAACCTGGCCCCAATTTTTTTTCTATCCAACCAATGACATCAAGAAGAAACTCTGGGGCTGAGTGATCTTTGATGTCTCTCTAATATAATACTTGCTTTAAAGATGCAGCCTTTGTGGTAAACAACAGTAACTAGCTAGATTTTAGCAGTCCCTAATATGGCATAGGTTGTGAAGTCACCACCTGAGTGACTGTGGTTTAGGGGACACTCAGCTTGTCCAGGCACCCACCTCTAAGCTCTATCTTGGCTTAATGAGTCCATGGAGGAAGAGATTTACGAAGGGCAGGAGGCCCCCGCCCACTGTCCCCGGGAGCCATGTCCTCACCTCACGTCCTTGCCCTCTGCCACCAGCATTCAGAGCTCACGAGACCCAGGGGTCCTCCCTGACCCGCTGCCCTTTGACCCCCACCAGGCTGACCTCCAGCTGTGTGAGCCCCGAGGGCCTCATCCACCTGGCATCCGGTCTGGGCCAGTGCCACCACCTGGAGGAGCTGGAGTGAGTCGCAGAGCAGAGGCTCCTGGGAGGGATTGCCCAGCTGGGGGCAAGGTGGACAATGGGACTTCAGCTTCTTATTTTGCCCCCTCATGAAGTCCTGAAATTCTGGGTGTGGCCGGGGAGCTGGGCACTGTGGTTTTGGACTCAACTTTGCCCCTGACTCACAGAGGGACTCTGGCATGGCTGTTCCTCTAGGGCTCTGCTTGCCTCATCTGTTAAATGGGGCTCATGATCCTTGCCCGGTGAGTGTCAGGGTATGGAGAGGACAGGGGGATAGAAGGATGACTGCATGTGTGTCCCTCGTCCCCGGCTTCCTCTCTGCAGCCTTCATCTGGGCCATCCTTTCTCAGCCGGGCCAGCGGTAGCTATCATGTGGGAACCCCACAGCCTGACCCTTGGGGCCAGGAATGCCCCGTGGAGCCTGGACAACAAGGATGGCCTAGGATCTGCAGACCCAGAGTGGGTCTCTGGGGGATGGAGGGGGAGGGGGAGCTGACAAGCTAGCTCAGCTCTGGGACGGGACAAGCTTGCCTAACCCTCACCTCTGCTTGGTCCCCGCAGCTTGTCCAACAATACGTTCTGCCAGGAGGGCACCAAGGCACTGATGGGGGCCCTTGAAGGAAAGTGCAGGCTGAAGAGGCTCGAGTAAGTGGCGGTGGTGGTTCATGGGGAGGGGTGGGCCAGTGGGGATCGAGGTTAATGGGGAAGTAGGGTGGTGGTGGTGAATGGGGAAGGGGCGTGAATGATGGTGGCAATTAATGGGGGAAGTAAGGAGTAAGTGATGACGGTGGTTAGTGGGGAAGGGGTGAGTGGTGGTGGTGACGCATGGTGTCAGTGGGGGCAGTGGGGAGCATGCCTAGGGACACAGGTGAGCTAAATGCCCTCCCACGACCTTTTACTTCCTCACCTGGCTCTGAGTGCCAGCAAGGTGCTTGGCCGTAGGAAACAACACACAACTCAAACCAACCCGAAGCAGGAATGCATTAGCTGATGTCCTGGAAAATTACAAGGCATCTGACTTCAGGCATGGCTGGATCCAGGAATTCTATATTTGTCAGGCTCTGTCTCTCACTCTCACTCTCGCTCTCTCACGATCTCACTCTCTCTCTTTCCCTGTGCACCTCGGCTTCCTTCTCAGACTGGCTGTCCCTGCCTACTAGTGGAAAGGGAGTTCCGTTCCATTCTCCCTGTGATGACAAGAAAAGGCCCTAGATCGAGTGTCACTGGACTAGCTTGGATCATAGCCATCCCTAAAGCAACCACTGTGGCTCTGAGCACGAAATAATCTCGATGGCCAGATCCAGGTCCCACGCCCACCCTGTCATCTAGACTTACAGGGGTGGTGTTTCAAAGTGCTATTAACAGAAGAAGGGGAAACTGACTCAGCAGAAAAACCCCACATGTCCACTGCCATTTGGCCACAGCTGTTTCCTTAGTAACTGGCAACGTTTGCTCTCCCCCTTAATTTGGAGTCACCAAACTCTTAGATACGGCAACTACAGCTTCGGTCCTACAAGACAGATCCCCATCTTACACAGAGTCCTGCTTAAACAGTATCTAGACAGAAAATTTAACAGGATCATTTCTGCTTTTAATCTCTAAGTTTTTCTGATGACCAAAAATACACACTGGCTATAAAAAGTTCCATCATTCTAGAAATATGTAACAAAGACCATGAAATTCCCTGGAGATGATACCCCCTGAGGAAACTTCTGTGAACAGTTTGTGAATTTTTCTCCAGATTTTTTCCTACATGCGTGTCGAATGCGGCTTAAAAGTAGACTTTTGCCTTTTTGTCCCTTAGCAGTGAAATTCTTCCCCTTTGTCCCTCTTGGCTTGTCCTGGGGAGAGGTCAGTTTGGGGGAAGGGTGGGTGGCTAGCGAGACCTGCGACCACAGGACCCTCCTGCCTTCCCACGAGTCTGTCCTTTGCCCCCCACCCCCATGTGCCTGCACCCCAGCTCAGCCTCCTGGAGGTTTTGATTTGGGAGGTTGGAGCCCAGTGAGATCATTCGCTGGCTCATTCATGCAATTGACCAGCATGTATTGACCTGGACGCCTGGCACTGGGAGCCGGTGGTGCCTCAGAGAACAGGACGTATGTACCCATGCCCCCACCACACTCACAGCCTGGTGGAGTGCCTCTGAATGGAGGCACTTAGAGTTGCTCCACTTCTCTTGCTGTCTCTGTTACCCTATCTATGGAGTGGGCATAATGCTATCTTCCCTGTCGGAAGGAAGGGGATGGCTTCCCAGTGCCTAGAGGTTTCTTCCAGTTTCAGATCTGTCATTTCCAAGGGTCACCTCCCACAGGCCGCCCCCCTCAAGCCCAGCCAGCACCTTCCAGACATCCACCTGCGATGGAATGAGTGGGGCCAGCCTGATTAGGAGCCTCACTGCCTGGGGCAACTCTTGGGAGGATAACTGACTGTCGCTGGTTCCCCTGGGGCTTTCACGGTTTTAGGGCAGGAAGTCCCACATGCGGAAACCCTCCAGAAACCCTCCTGTTCTTAGGCCAGCCAGGAGAATTGACTGGTTCCACCTGTAATGTGTGAGTTTGTGCAGGGCCCTCAATGTCTCTGTGCTTTGGTCTCCTCCTCTGAACTTTGATAATAAGAGGGGTCTCTACCTCCTGGGGATGTTGTGAAGATTAAATGAGATGTACATGTTACATTCTTAGTGCACAGCCCTATACAGAGTTCTCACTCTACAAGTGTCAGCTGTGGTTGTTGATACTCCCCTCTCCTGCTCAGGCTAGAGCCCTTAGGAGTGTGATCCCATAGGTAGCACGTGGCTGGGGCCTGGGAATGGGAGTCCGACAGCCTTGGGTTCTGCTCCTGAAGCTGCCACTTTCTGTGTGTGACCTTGAACAAGCTTTCTAACTCTCTGAGCCTTGGTGTTCCTCACCTGTAAAATGGGATGATAGACCCACCTTTCCAGATGGCCCCAAGCCTATGTCTGGCTCCATATCATATGTTCCATATGTGATCATTATTGGCTATTATTTTGGGTCCAGTGTGATTCGGAATATTGACTCTGAACCTGCCCACGTGGCCTCAGTTATCATGCAGAGGAATAGCCTCTGGGTCTCCCAGTGCAGTTTGTTTCGTATTGCTTTGGCACTGTGTGGATGTAGGGGCTGTCTCAGGGGTCCCTGGGCATGCTAAGCAGAACCCTGGTCTGCACGGGGTCTCCACCTGCTCCTGGAACCCCAGCCCAGTGATACCTCCTCTTCTCCAGCCTCAGTCACCTTAAGCTCGGCGGCTCCACCTTGGCCTTGCTCACCCAAGGACTAAGTCACATGATCCTCCTGCAGAGCCTCCGGTGAGTGACCCCTGTGGGAATGAGTGGGGACACATGCCCCAGCTTACTGGGACCACCCTCGGGGAAGCCCTGAGGGCACCTCCTGCAGACCTGCTGGGGCTCCTCCTAGGCCCATCCTGGCCTTTAGGTGGTGCCCCCTGCTCTTGCTTTCTGATGCCAGCAGCTTCCTCCTGGTTACGAATGTGACCTGAAGGCGTTAGGCCCATGTCCTGGAACAACCCTTCATGTGCACACAACTCACCCTGGTTTCATATTCAAATGATCATTCTGATTCCACAGGTCTGGAATTCTGCCTAGATCCTTTTTTTTTTTTTGAGATGGGTCTCGCTATGTTGCCCAGGCTGGAGTGCAGTGGCTATTTACAGGCACCATCATAACTCACTGCAGCCTCAAACTCCTGGGCTCAAGTGATCCTCCAGCCTCAGCCTCTCAAGTAGCTGGGACTACAGACTTGAGCCACTGTGCCCAGATTCTGCAGGTGATACCAATTCCGGGGCCACATACCGCACTGAGCAGTGAGGTAGTCTAGACTCAGATCTGGCAGCCTTTAGATTCCTTTTACGATTTCACTCCCTGCCCACTAGGACAAGCAATTATGAAATATGGTGACTAAAAACAAATCCAAGCAGCGACACAAAGCACTGCTTTGTTTATATCCAAGCCCCCCTTCCCTGTACTCCCACCTCCCCCTCCCCTGGCAGAATAGAGAGTTCAGGAGGGCATGTTGTATCGGACCATTTCACTCGAAATTAGTTTACTGAAAAGCAGTTCACTAAAATTTAATTTGCAAACCAAAGAAAAAATAACCCTTAGAAAAATACCTCACAAGGGACTAGATTGTCTGCCCCTGCTGTTTTGTTCTGTGTTAGTTTTCCCCACTCACAGAGGAAAGAACAAGGTTGGAGCGCAGGAAAGACCACACTGGGTGAAGGGAAAGCCTATTATTTGCATAGAAGACGGCATGATATGCCCTGAGGGAATTGATTTGCCTGAATGTGAAACCCACATGAAATTGGCATTCAGCGGGCTGGCCTGGAGGGCCCACACACAGAGGCTGGGGCAAACCCTGCCACGCTGGAAAACGGAGAGCCTACTCCCAGGCAGGGGCTCCCAGGCAGGGGCTGTGGCTTCCCTTCACCCAGCCTGCAGTCCCTGTGAGTCCTGGCCAGTCACGCCTCACCGCTAGGCTCTGGTTTTCATTCCACCCTGCTCACCACCCCCTCACTCCCAAAAGTTTTGTGACTGGCATATGTGTTCCTGGATGTGTTTTGCAAACTGTAGCATTATTAGCACTGCACCTCCTAAAAGGCCTTTAAACATCTGAGTCCTTTGGTTCCTGTTTTTCCAGACTGAGCGGGAACAGCATCACTGCTGTCGACTGCTACTACCTTTCTGAGGCTCTCAGAGCTGTCACCACCTTGGAGGAGCTGGAGTGAGTTGCCTGTCCTCTCCCAGACCCAAAACAACTTTGGCAGGAACAGATGACAAAGCAAGGGCTACTTAAGTGCAGTCTTCGCCTCTTCATCTCATCCCCGGCACCCACTTCTACCCTGTATAATCCAACACAGGCCTAGACCCTTGGTAGACCCAAAGACAGGATATAAGGGTGTCAATTGCAGTGAGAAGGATTTCAGTCAGACAACTAGGGGAACATCCTAAACAAAAAACAAGGGTCGGGAACCCTCACCCACCATGGGGTGATGGGGCTCTCTCCGTGTGAGCTGAGGGCCTCTTGGGACGTCAGCCTCCTCTTCTGTTCTGGGAGGTGGTGTGGACAAGACCAGATGGTAAAGGCTGAGGAATCTGTTCTCTCTCTAAGCTTGAACCACAACCAGATTGGAGACGCCGGTGCTCAGAGCATAGCTACCATCCTGCCAGGGTTGCCCGGGCTCAGGAAGATAGAGTGAGTAGCCTGACCGCTGAGAGGTGTCCACGAGGGCCACCCCCTGGTCCTAGGAGACTCTGTTCCCTGGCTCAGGCCAGCACTGTAGACTCTCCCTGTCCCCATCTCAGTGTCCAGGCAGTGGGCTCTGACAATGGGACCTTAAACCACCCTGGCCCCTGCTCATCGGCTGGGAAGGTGTGTGGTGGGGCTTCTTTCTGGGGTTCCCTGCAGCAGGGGTGGCAGCTCCAGCTGATGTGGCAGGTGGGGGGAGAAGGGAGTCAGAGGACCTGATACCGCCACCTCCCATAGCCTCTCAAGGAATAGCATTGGCCCAGCCGGGGGAGCACACTTGGCGGAGTCTCTCATTCTTTGCGGGTGCCTGGAGGAGCTGATGTGAGTATCTGCCCAGGTGGCCTCTGACTCTCTCCCTGTGGGCCTACCTGGTCCTCCTCGCCCCCAGTGGGCAAGGTGGGGCGGGGGCCCTGAGAGGCCAGCCCAGCATTCACAATCATTCCCCTTCTCTTTCAGGCTTGGCTACAACACCCTGGGAGACCCCATGGCCCTGGGGCTGGCTCAGGGGCTGCCCCAGCACCTGAGGGTCCTGCAGTGAGTGCCCCCTGCCCACAGTGCATGCAGGGCTGGCAGGGAGAGGGTCCTTGGAGCCAGTGGGCAGCAAGGCCCCATTGGTTGAACTGCCCTGCCCGAGGTCACACTGTGGCATGCGCTGGGCTAGCTGCCCCCTCCTTCCTGCTCCTTCTGCCTCTGATGTCTGGGGCAGAGAAACCCAGAGGCTCAGCCTACTTCTGGCTCTGCCACTGGCCCCTGTGTACCCTTGGACAAGCCCCCGTCCCATCGGAGCCTCAGCCTCCTCATCTGCAAAAGAAGCGCAATGGCCTCAGCTCAGTGCACCCTGTGAGCCAGTCTCCAAGGGTGAACGAGAAATATTGGCCACGGGCTTCCTGGCAGAAAAGTACCAAGCACCACGGCTGTGGCACTGTACAGTTCAATCCACTTGAGCCTCCTGGAGCCCCGGGGCTGGGGTTCTCATGTGCCCTTTTCCAGGCCAGGGAATGCAGGCCAGAGGAGGAGGGGGAATCTCAACTTACTAATACACAGAGGAGCAGGCCTTGGCTTTGGGATCCCAGACCCCAAGGCCAGGGCCCTGGATGCCCACCGGTGTCCTGAGTAGAGGGGGAAGGGGCCTGGGGCATCACTCGCCCAGGCAGCGTTTCAGCCTGATGTTGCAGCCTGAGAAAAGGCTGAGGGAGGGGGCTCTGGGAAGACCCCAAGCCACACAGCGAGTCCCCCAGCCTCCTCTCACCCCCTCCCCTGTCCCTAGCCTGCCATCCAGTCACCTGGGCCCAGAGGGGGCCCTGAGCCTGGGCCAGGCCCTGGATGGATGCCCACGTGTGGAGGAGATCAGGTGAGGAGGGGCCGCCCAGCCTGGAGAGGGGACAGGCCAAGGGGGGTCTGGTGGCTCCCCTCACAGGTGTCTCCCCTGCCCTGCAGCTTGGCAGAGAACAGCCTGGCCAAAGGGGTCCTACATTTCTGTAAGGGGTTTCCGCTGCTCAGACACATGGAGTAAGTAGCCTCCCATGACTGGCTGGGCCTGCAGTGGGTGGGGGCAACCCTTCTCTGGGGAGCCTGACACCCCGGCGGAGGCTTTTGAAGTGACAGAACCTCAGGCACGGTGGGGGCAGGAAAGGAGCACTTGCCCAGAGCTCCAGGCCCTGGCCACTCGGCTCCCTCCTGCTCTGACTCAGGAGAAGGGGACTGCCGGGTGCCCCCAACTCAGACGCCCTCCACCCTCTCCCTTGTCCACCCCAGCCTGGTTTTCTGTAAGATTGACAACCAGACTGCGAAGTCCCTCGCCACCGGCTTCACACTCTGCCCAGCGCTGGAAGTTATCTTGTGAGTGACCGGATGAGCCCTGGGCTGGGAGAGCCATGCCAGTGGGGGGAGGGGTGGCCCAGCCCACCGTGTGGCCTGGGTTACCCCTGAGCGCCTCTGACCTAGCCTTGCTCTATAAGCGAGGTGGATCATTCTTGCCCAAGCCTCCTCTGAACGTTTTAACACTTGAGCTGCGGGTGATGTCGGGCAAAGCCGTTCAGTCCCTCCTTCCTGACTCCCACCTGTAAAGTGGCCAGGGGGCGGAGGGCCAGATGGTCTCTAAGGTCCTTTGCCTCACCTTTCCTCTGGAGGCTGCTGGAGAGAGCACCTTGCTCTCTTGCTTGGGTGACCATGCTTGGGCAGCCATGTCTGAATGACCAAGCCTCCGCTTCTAAGCCACTGTCGGTAGTGAAGAGTGGCTGGAGCCAGTGGGCACCCGTCCTGGACCTGCCCATGGGCTGCACCCAGGTCCCTCTTAGCAATCAGAGTCCCTCAGACCCTGGGGCATTGCAACACTGCCTCATGGGCAAATTAGACTGCTAGAACTAGCCTGGGGCCCTAATTTCGGAATGGAAGAAAATGCTATTTACTTTTTTTCATTTTATTTTATTTGAGTTGGAGTCTCACTCTGTCTCCCAGGCTGGAGTGCAGTGGCCCTCTGCTCACTACCACCACAGCCTCGACCTGCTGGGCTCAGGCAATCCTTCTGCCTCAGCCTTCCAATAGCTGGAACCACAGGCATGCGCCATCACACCCAGCTAATTTTTTGATTTATTGTAGAGATGAGGTCTCGCCATGTGGCTCAGGTTGGTCTTGAGCCCCTGAGCTCAGGCAAACCTCTTGCTTCCGTCTCCCGAAGTGCTGGAATTACAGGCATGAGCCACCACGCCGAGCCTCGTTTTATTTTATTTTTAAGAGAGATGGGGTCTCACTCTGAAGCCCAGGTTGGAGGGCAGTGGCATGATCACAACTCACCACAGCCTGGACTTCCTGGGCCCAGGAGATCCTTCTGTTTCAGCCTCCTGAGTAGCTGGGACTATAGGCGTGTGCCACCATGCCCAGATGCTTTATTTTAATTTTTGTAGAGATGAGGCCTTACTCTGTTGTCCAGGCTGGTCTCAGACTCCTAGATTCAAGTAATCCTCCTGTCTCAGCCTCTCAAAGTGCTGGGATCACAGGTGTGAGCCACCACACCCAGCTTCATGCTTCTTCCCGAAAATGCTATTTCCTAAAGCACAAGCCACAAGTGATTAAAAAATGATTTCTTTATTTTTCTTCTTTGCATCCTACATGTTTTAGTTCCTTTCACTTTGCCAAAGAGAAAGTCTTGGGTCATCTTTAACACCAGATGTGGCAATTCTCCCTTTTAACCAACAGGGCAGGCCCCAGACCCCGCCCCTTAGGAAGGACACAGGTCCCAGCCAGAAGTGAATATCATTGTTTGCACTGTGTTTGTTCTTGTAACGACCTTCTATTTGGGGTCCTTGGCACAGGCTTCCCATTGATAGCAGTGATTAAATGTTTCTTTTTAAAGATTAATTTCTTAAAGTAAGAAAAAGGGGGGGATTTAAAGAAAAATATAAGCCGGGCTCGGTGGCTTAGCCTGTAATCCTGCGCCTTTGGGAGGCTGAGGTGAGTGGATTGCA